ATCTTATTGTTCAAGTTAATTATATGATTTTTTGTGATTAATTAAATTGTAGCTTTTTAAAATTAAAATACAATAAAAGGATATCCTCTTATTTACTTAATCATTACCTACAAATTGCAAACTAAAGTAATCAAAACAGCCATGCACTTATCATAATAATCCTTTGCTTGAATTCGAATAAAAAATACTTAAAACTAGTACTCTTAAAGATCTTACAAATTCCCCAATCCCAACTGGAGGTCATCCACCAACCACTGTGCCCATCGGCACTTCCCAGCCACTTCCTCCCGGTCGCTGGTTTCTGGTCTTCTGGTCGGCGGGCCGAGAGAGCTACTCCCGCCAGACGGACAGACGACCGGGAAGGCGACTTTGGGGCCGGGAAAGAACTTGCCACAGTTCGGAACGAAGCTAAACGCGGCTAAAAAGCTAAGCCCGCCGAATGGCAAAAAGCAAGGAGCGTAAGAGACGAAGAAGAGGAAGAGAAGGGGCAGGGGCAGGGGAAGCAATGAGGAGCACTAACAAAGTTGCTGTGGCATTCATAAGGCGGCAACGGATACCGCAGTCGGGATAGTGAACAAATACATGCATATAAAATGCAAATAAAAAATGCGGCAGATACTAAAATTGTAATATCCGCACAGGAACGCAGGCAACAAACAAAACACAAACAAACAGCAATGCTCTTCTTCTTCTTCTTCTCTTGCCCCGAGGAGCAAAAAAGTCGAAGCACTAAAAAAAAAATAAAAGGAATATATATAAATACAAAGCGGCAGGGAAAAAGCGGGCAAAATGAAACTAAACCTTTGGGCTGTGCTCGCTTTCGGTGAGTGTGTGTGTGTGTGAGTGTGTGTATGAATGTGTGTGTGCTGCATATTTTTGCCAGGGCGTGGGAAACAACAACACTGCCTGTGTGGACCGCGGTCGCGTCTGCCACAGGCCCCGCCTCCGCCTGCCGCACCGTTTTGGGGCTTGCCCCGGGGCACGAATCCCCATCGAAGTGCCCGTCCGATTCCGAAACCGAATCCCAAAACCGGTCGCCGCCTGGAACCCGGCATGCTAATCTCGCTCCTGCCAACAGCCAACTGCCAACCGCCGACTTCTAATGAAGCAATGAAGCCGAAGACGCAGGCGAAGCTCTTCCGATATTTGCTCTATGCGAATAGCTGAGAAAGCCACTGCGAAAAATGCAACTTATAAATATATCACAAAATTAATACAAATTCAACAAAAAAAACTCCAAGCTAACAACAAGCAAACTCAAAAACAACTTTTAAAATTTTTTTTTAGTTTTAGTTATGTAATAATGTTAGATAGCAGCATAAATTACATCCATAATGTTTACCTCTTTGGTGGGACTTCACTAAACCAAATAATCGAGTAAGCAAAACACATTTATTTATTTCAAATTTAAATAGCTTAAAAAAAAATACAAAATTGGTAAAAATTTGTAAACATATTATTAGGGGGTGTACTGAAATTAAAAGCCTCTATTCAGGTAATTGTAATAAAATTATGAGTGCATATATTTGTATACCTTAAATAAGGTTCTTAATTTAGAAACTTTGAATACAATTGCAAATTATTTTCGTTTTTCGCCAGTGTAAAAAGAAAACTGGCAGTCATATGAATGGACTTTTAGTGTCTGGTCATGGGCTTGGTGGTCGTCGGCTTGCCCTGGGAGTCAAAAAAGAGTTCCTTGGCCCTGAGACCTCCGACGGGCCAACTACTCTGGCCGCACTTTGTTGTCTAATTCAATTTCATTGTCTGTTTGCCCATTAGTGCGATTTTCCATGTGTGACGAGCGTGGATTCCTTTGCCATTTTCCTCCCACCCGGAAGGTTTTAAAAGCGAAAAAAAGAGGAAACCCAAGCTTAATGAAATTTTCATGTTTCATTGGGAAAGCCATTTGGCCTGCTTTATATTTGATTGCTGGTCGGGCATAGTTACGTATACGTACCGGTGTACGGGTATATATGGTATATACCTTGCTGCCACAATAAAAATGCCCTTGGTTAATTGTCAAAGCGGCAAGGAGATGGAGTGAGTGAGAGAGCCAACTAGGAAGAAACGAGATGGAGAGAGTGCGATAGAATCTGGACAGAAATTGCAATTAGTTGCACAGGCCAACGCAAACGTCCAGCAAATTGCATATGAAGTTTTGTGTGAGCCCGCAGGTGAAGTGCTGAGTTAACAATTTATGAGATACAAAGATACAAATGCATGCCACCTGAGGCGGCGCACTGTTCGTGTGTGTTTGTTTGTGTGTGGGCCCCGACTTAATTGAGCGCATTAAGCCAACAAAAGCAGCTGCAATAATGCATATCGAGCATACGCAGTGTTGACTGCTCTCAGCAAATTCCCTATCGACAATCGCTCGCAGCGAGTTCATTAAAATTGCAATTAGGCATCGAAGCGAAGGAAGTGCCACTGGATGCCGCACTGAATATTCCACCAAAGGAGTTAAGTCTGGCAATCCGGATAAGGGAAATTGCACGGGTTGAAAATGGAAATATTCGCAATCAATAGATGGCATTTTAGGCATGTCAGTCATGTAATTGTTGTCTGCATCCGCACTTTCTCGCCTGCAGCTCCAACTCCTCTTGATGGTTCACTCTATTTGCGCTCTCGCATCGATTTAATGAGCCAATCGAGTCGAGTTCCCGATGTCACACTGTGCGGGAATATATACGAGTACTCGTATACGTGTGTGTATATAGTATTTATCCCAGCGCATCAACACGTTCGACGCGGCGTGTTAATAATTAAATGTTTCCGCCAGTCAACGCTCCACTTTAACTATGCCACGGCAATGAGATTAGCGACAGGATGTATACGAGTACGTTCCCCACTTCCCCACCGATGTAACCCATAGATGAATCTCTGGCATCTGACGTTATTATGGTCGCCTTGTATCGCAAACGCGTTAAATCAATTGGCTGGCATTGTTTATCGCATCCTGCGCAATTGTCAGCCAGTGTCGAACGATTAGCGGCCCCACCAGTTGGTCCTGTGCTAAACCACGGCTCAAAAGCAATAGAAAATTTAATATCCCAGCCCCACTATTAAATCGATTGCCTTGATTGCTTACTTAAGACTTTAATTCAGTTTTATTGAAGCAGAGGTGCACATTAAATAATTTGTTTAATGGAATAGGATTGAAACGTTTATGCAAATTATCTCTTAGGCGCACCTCAATGTGACCTAGACTTTTTCTACTTATAATTTTCCTCACTTGTGAATTAAGTGAACTATCTAATTTACGTTCCGGTTTACTTATAATTTTCCTCACTTGTAAATTAAGTGAACTATTCAATTTGCCTTTCTCATCCTAAAAGTTGGTAGATACTTATGTTGATTTATTTATTTACATTTTTTTTTATTTACATTATCAACTTGAAAATCTATTTACCATAAATCAAAGCAACACCAATATTTATTTTATTAAATCGGGATTCTCTGGGTAATAAAAGTGTCATTAAAATATAATTTAAATGGCCATATATTAGACCTCCTGACACCTTGAAACTATTTTGATGTGAAACCCAACCAAATTGATGGCCAAACTAGAGCCCTATTTTACTGTGCACCGTTTTCACTTTTCTTCGGTTCGTTTACCCAAAAATCGCTTCCCGAACCCATAAGTTTTGCTAATTAAAAAGGGTAAGCCCTGCTCGCCACGGATGACGCATCAAAGGCCATTAGCCGATAAAGGCTGCCCGAGTGCAGAGCCAAGACCCCAGAAACTGACACATCGACAGCGCTCCAAGCCAAGCCCAAAAACCAGACACAAAGACTTATTCAAACGCTGAGAACGGAAATGCTCCAACATCGAAATCAAAATGAGCCGCAGCGCAGAACATAAAGCAAAAAAAAAAAAATAAAAACAACAACAGAAAAGAAGAACAAATCTGGAAACACTTTTGGCCTGTCGAAAAATGTGTGTTTAGTTTGTTGTTCCCGGCTCGCCGTTCTTTTGTTGCCAATTAACAGAGAGATTGACACTTTCGTTTGAAACCGATATACAAGACAGCGAATTGCAATTTGGAATTTGTCAGGGGCCAAAAAAGAGGGCGGGGCAGTGTTTGCTCTTTGTGTGTGAGAAATCACACGCCGATTTGACAGTTTCCCTCGATGCTATCTGCCTCTATCTATCCGATCCCCTCCCCACTTCCCTATATGTCGATATATATCTGGCCTTGGCCATTTGTAATCTGCGCTAATGACAGGCTGCCAGAAAAGTGTGTGTGTGTGTTTGTATCTGTATCCGAGTTTTGCATCGATTGCCAATCTGTGTATCCAAATCAATTCGCACAACTGCCGCTGACACCTTGACAGATAACATTGTGTCACATTTGGTTTTTCTTACGCTCAGCTATGTGATTAGTGTCTGAATATTAAGAGAATTTATCAACTTGCCGCGCTTAATTCGCGAACTGATTGACAGACTACAGATAGTAATCGATGGCTGCCAGTTGAAAGGGATTGAATGGGAAAACATCATCCAAATCAGTTTTATGTAATTAAATGAGGCATATAATATAAAGTATATTATTATGTGATTAGTGTTTGTATACATGAAAATGATATCGAGCTTTGGGTGATTGTTGGTAGATTATAGTAGAATAATTCTGTTCTTTACAATCAAATTAAACAGAACTAATTTATGCAAATTGGTATTTCTCTTTTCATTAAGAACAACCTCTGTTTCCGCCAGGTTTGTTCATATTTAACTCCACCTGGCATTGCCGACAGCCATATTAAATTGTATTTCATTAACTAAAAGCTTACTCGTACACAGAGATAAAGAGCAGTGGCAACAATTCTTTTTTCCAAGTGGGCGGAAATCCCAGCCAGTCCATTAGGACGGAAGTTTCGCAAATCCCAGCAGGGGAGAACTTTAGCGGCAAAGTGATTAAATTTCGCTAGGAATAACAATAACCATAACAATACTTTCATGGTTGCCCCTTTTTTTTCTCTTCCTCTCTCATTTCTTGCGGCAGGTCACGTCCTGGATCTGGTGCAGATTTCGGAGAACATGACCCATTCCCTGTTCTCCACGGTCTACTTCCGAATGGTGCCGCAATCCCGCATGATGATCCATCAATTGTACACGGAAATCATGAAGTAAGTACAAAGGGTAGATAATTTGGAGGGGTATATATATTAAACTGAGATACTCTTCTTTCAGCCAACTGATTTACACCTCAAATTACACGAATAGTAATGGCGAGCAGGGAAGACGGGGCATTGGAAGTGTGCAGGGAAGCTTGGAGTCCGCTGTGAGGCATTTCTTTGTGCAACTCTTCCCGGTGGCTTACCACCAGGAGGTGCACCTGTCCAAGAACAATCTGGGTGACTTGCACGACGACTACGTCAACTGCCTGAAGCACAACTTCGACGAGATGCGGCCTTTTGGGGATATTCCACGGCAATTGCAGGCCAGCCTGGGCAAGAGTGTCCACATGTCGAATGTCTTCATGAACGCCCTGCTCCAGGCAGCCGAGGTCCTCAGCGAGGCGGACGTCCTTTACGGCCAGCAGCTGACGGACACGTGCAAGCAGCAGCTCCTCAAGATGCACTACTGCCCCAACTGCCAGGGTCGATTGGCCAGGAGCGAGACGAACTTGTGCCAGGACTACTGCAAGAACGTGATGCGGTGAGTCCGGAATACTGAACTGGGGGATCAGAGGTCCACCAACCTAAATTTTGTAATGTACTCGCTACATTTCATACAATTATTAAAGTACAAAGTTCTGTAGTATTGGAAGAAGTTGATGTATAAATTCAAGAAATTTATTTTAAAATTTTATTTCCTAAAATTCAACAAAAAGCTTTCATTTAAATACGCTTTTAAATATTCGAATCATTTTTACTATCTTTAAATGATTCAAAAACCTTGACAACCCACTTTCAACATACGTATTTTATATAAGTAATAAAAATTATGTTCAAATTTTGAAAGTGTTATGTTGATTAAGATGATTGACCCTCATTTGTCATGTTTACGTTACAATCTTGTGCTTAAACTTTATGCATTTGTTTTACGATCTTCAGCGGCTGCTCGGCGGAATATGCTGGTCTGCTGGACGGTCCCTGGTCGAGTGTGGAGGATGCCCTCAACAACCTGGTGACCACCCACATTCTCTCGGACGGCGGCATCATCAACGTCATTAAACAGCTGCAGTCGAAGCTCTCCGATGCAATCATGACCGCCATGAACAATAGCCCTGATTTGGAGCAGAAGGTAAGTGGACCCATCCAAAGAACTTGCTAGTGATTCTGCTATTCAGATTTGGTTTTATAGGCCTTACAGCTTAAAACCAAAAAAACCAGAAAGTTATTTTTTTATTATACCCATTAAATGTTTTGGCAACCAAAACCAATATTGTCTGAAAGTTATTGAAATCTCGAGGGCACAATAAGTTTATTAATCTTAACTAGCAAAGAATATACCAACGATTTGGGATTCTTTAATTTATGAACTATAAATATTTGTCTCTAGTTATTATTGTGTATAGTTCCTATTTAGAATATACTATAAAAAAGGTGATTCATTTTAAAAATTTAAAAAGAAAAGAAATTAAATGCTGAAAAGTAAACTTTAGACATTACTTTATAAAATGTTGTAAAGTATTGGTTACATAAACAAATCAGATACCTTGTATTATCACATTTGGCATTCATTGGCTTTATATGAGCAATCTCTTTCGAGGACACAGCTCTTTTTTTTTGTGCCAGCCATCGGAAGATACGATCGATTTCGTTTATTTCTGTCCCAAGGACACGTCCGTTTAATGGTTTAATTGCCAGTTAATTTATGAACATTTTAAATGAATTAAATGAATCGGAATTCAGTTCCGGCCTTCGAACTTGCAGCAGCCTCGAAAAAAAAACATCTTTGGTATTTCGAGGGCTTGTTAAGCGTGCACATGACATCCAATTGATGCCCGTTGGCATGATTGACATGTTGCAGGGAATTTAAAATGCTAAATTAGAGCGAAGTTGTATTTTTATCCCCCCATGAAAGTTGCAATTTACATGCAGCTGGGCAGCTTAATAATAGTTGAAGAGAGGGGGAAACACGTGCGCCTTGCATGAGCGGCGGCGATTAGCAAGTGGAAGTGGAAGCCCCCGTAAACCGGAGAACTACATGGATGGCATTCCCCCCTTTTTTTTTCCATTTTCCAGGTGAAGAAGACGTGCGGCACTCCCAGCCTGACACCCTACTCCACCGCAGAGGCGGATGCGCGGCCACCGCCCCACAAGAACAACATCAAGTGGCCAGTTGCCCCGGATCCGGACATGGTCCGCTTCCTCTCGACCATCGAGAAGAGCAAGGAGTTCTACACGACCATCGTGGACAAGTGAGTGTTCAGACGATGCCACAAACTTTATTGATTGGGGTTTTGGGTGTACACAAACAACTTAATTGACTGACCAAGCTATGACTTCAAATGGGCCACATCCTGTGGGAAACTAGCCCTTTTTGGGCCCAGTGATCATGGCGATCAGGTCCTCCAGCAGGCAAAAGTACAGCGGTGTGACAATGGCAATGAAGAATATTAAGTTGGCGAAGAAGCCATTTTTCACCGGCACACGACAGCCCTAAAAAAATGATTTTAATTTGATTTTAGCAAAATAAAGTGGGGTACCTGTTAATATTAAATGACATATATATTTTATAGTATTTTAAAAATATTCCCATTTTGGAACTAATTTATATTCAAAACTTACTTGTCGTGGTGGCGGAATCAAAGGACGAGCCAGGCAAAAGTCATGAGCCAGGCGATGCATCCACAAAACGAATTCTTTAAACATTTTGTTTCCTTTTTTGTTTTCTTTGTTTATAAGGGAACTTGTCAATAAACATTAGTTGTTTTGGCAGAACTTAAATTGAGTTGAAAAACAAGCTTACTAAGTTCACACTTCGCTTTAATTGAACAGCTTCTGTGACGAGCAGCACTCTCGCAAGGATGAGCCCTGCTGGACAGGCGAACGCTTCGGGGATTACACCCAGTTGTTGAGTAAACCTGGAACTGATGGCCAGCGATACAATCCCGAGGTGCCCTTCAATTCGATGACTCAATTCAGCCAGCTGAACGAGCTGGTCGACAAGCTCATCAAGATCCGCAAGAGCATTGGAGCTGCGGTATGACTATATCTATAATTAATAATTGAGTTATTATTGAAATTAATGTTGGTTATTAACAGGCACCTTCGAACAGCATACAGTCGACTCACGACATCCAGAATGATATGGGAGAGGGTTCTGGTGGTGGCGAGGGCCAGATCGGCGATGACGAGGAGGAGTATGGAGGCGCACATGGTTCCGGGGACGGTTCCGGAGATGGTAAGATATTAAATCTTATATCTAAAACCATAAATAACATTTACAAAAGTTTATCCTGGAACTAATTGAAATATTATATTTAATCTGTGACATTTAACATAATTTAGTTATGAGAAACTTATTTAGATCATACTAGTTTGTATTAAATTTGTATTAAAAATTTAATTTTATTTTTTTTTAGGACCCCACACGCGCATCGAGGAAACCGAAGGCACCACAACCAACGACTTGGAGTCGCCGGACAGCGGCAAGTCGAGCGGGTCAAACCTGCTGGCAGCCAAGGCGACGTGGATGCTCTCGCTCCTCACTCTAGTCACAATGCTCTTCAGCAGTTGTAGTTAAGGATGCTGCCCCACCCGAGGGACTGGACGCACAATGTGCCCCGCTGCGAGGCAAGGAACGATGAAGGCACAACAAGAGCAACAAGAGCTAATGCACAAGAATCGAGTTAAATCATTAATTAACAACTATTATCATTATTATTATTATTTGTGTAATTCTTAAGTTGTTACAAGTAATTTATTAGGCCCTAAGCGCATTCATCTAGCAATCGACTAACAATTTACACACCAGAAGCGAAAAACTGAAACTGAACCCCTGAAGCGCACCTCTCCTTCTAGCTTTTCCAAATTTGGAGCTCATCGAATTTCCATGCCGCATCCAACTAGACTTGTGTGCCATATAAATGTGTTGGAGGTTTGCATACGGATCGAGTAATCGCTAAATATTACAATATGAAAATTACAAAAAAAAAATGAAGAAGAAAGAAAAATAGGCTCAAACTCAAGCAGAACCCTTTCCATAGAGTGTGCAGTTTGTTCAGATACATGTTAATATATATAGCGTACCGTACATAAAGCTCAATGTTCAAAGCAAGTTGTTCCTTTTCGGTGTAATTAACAAGTAAATAGAGACGAATTCAGAGGCGTGGCACCACATTCAATGGCTAGTTTTTGGAGCGATCACAAATATTATACGTAAAGGATATAAATCTGTTAGCTGTAGCTCAGTGAATGTTAAACTTAAACGAAATTATTGTTGTCTACACCTTTCGAACTGAAACGAATACGAACAATTTAGAAATTGATCAATTGGGTAAACGAAGCGAAATGCATACGAATGGAATTTAGTTGAGTAAACGCACTTTACGGAAAAACTAGAAGACTTACAGCTTTATACGCAAAACAAAAAACCGAGAAAAAAACACAAAACGAAAATCGATGAAAATCTATTGATAACATACGTACATTATATGTAGCATTATTTAAATTATATGAACAAAGAGAGAAGACCTTGGGGCAATGTCATGAAATGCATTCAGCTAATTAGAGTTTATGGGGCACTTCTGAAAGAGTTCTGAGAGAAAGTGCCGCAGAATGAAACGCAGAGTTCAGCGCACAAATCACGGTTCGCAGTCCGCAATCCGCAATTTGCAATTCGCAATCTGCAATTTCAAACGACACTATTGTTGCAATCTAACGGATACTTTACAGTGGGGCAGAGCGCTGCTGAATCAAATCCAGAGAGCAGCGCTGGCGACACTCTAAATAACAAATAAATCTATATATATATATATATATACAAATGAATATGAAATATGCATTAATACGAGTACGGCGCCAGCGATAAGAATGAAGTCTATATATATATATACACACATAAATGAATTAACTAATTAAATCGTAATTATATGCTAGTGCGTAAACTGTAACGATTAGCCCGTAACGTGTAAAAAGCAGAAACAGTTGATCGAGAACAACAAATTTAGTTAGTAGCAAATTAACAAAGGAAACGCCAACTGCCGCCGCACAAATCGAATTGGCACAAATATCGCTTAAATTTATGTGCGGGTGTGCTGGTTGAACTATGTATAATTATTATTTGTATCATTATTATTTAACTATTGCATGTGATTAATAATATTTAAGTTAAACGTAAACGCAACATATTAAATTGTAACTTATGTATACCGCAAACAGCCGCAATGTGCGAAAGGAAATCATCGTTGTAAATCTATTCGGAGATAACAAATGCGAATTGAAAATTGCACTAAAAATAAATGTACTACTTTTAGATGCCTAAAAACCAATAAATAATTATGTAACAAGAAAAGCAAGTCCAACAAGTTTATTGACAGCGAGACGCATTAGAGCTATGAGTAACGAAAACGAATACGAAAAACTTTTGTAAATTTCATTTAAAACCTGAATAAACGTCAATATTTGAAATTCAAATTTAACGTGGTCATTTTGGTTAAGCAATGTGGCAACGCTGGTGTACCCGCTAAAGGAGGATGTACTTGCTATGGTAGAGGGTGAATCGGTTTTGCTAGGACGGTGTACTTGCTAAGTGAAAGGGGTCACATCGCTTGGTGAGGAGGGTGTACTCGCTATCTCTTTTGGGTTTTTCGGTTAACTAAGGAACGGTCACACTAGCTCACTAAACGCATTTTTGGCGGGAAACATTATCATTATTTTCCCCGCATTTTCCGGCAGACAGCGTCCTGAAAAACACCTTGGGCAAGCAGCTGTCCTCAATTTATTGTTCTATACTCAACACACAAAAGAACCAAGCGCAAAATGGCTCGACGAGACTACGCTCAAGATAGAGGTAAATTTGTGTACCAATTTAGAAGGCATTAAATTACAAAATATTTATCAACTCACAGAATCCATCAAAACATTTCTGTCGGAGTTCTGTAAATGCGACGATGACGGCAAAAAGCAGTTTGTCTACGGATCGCAGTTGGTGAAACTGGCCCACCGGGAGCAGGTTCTGATCACCATCGATCTGGATGATCTGGCGGAATTCAATGAGAGTCTCGCCGAGGCGGTGATTGACAATTGCCGGAGATACACGTCGATTTTCAGCGATGTGATTGCCGAACTGCTGCCCAGCTACAAACAGCAGGAGGTGCACGCCAAGGACGCTCTGGATGTGTACATCGAACACCGTCTGATGATGGATTCCCGCACCCGGAATCCCATGGAGCAGCGCGACGAACGCAACAACTTCCCCTCGGAGCTGATGAAGCGATTGTAAGTGGTGGTTACTCTAATTTTACAGACAAACACGGGATGGTATAAAGAACGAAATTTAGCACTAATTTATATGAAACCTATTTTATAACCTTTTAGGTTAACTAATCATATAATAATAAGATCCCCTTCTCTTCCAGCGAGGTGGGTTTCAAACCCTTGTCCACCGAGAAGGCGCACTCCATTCGCGAGGTGAAGGCCCAGCACATTGGCAAACTGGTCACCGTTCGCGGCATCGTTACCCGCTGCACGGAGGTCAAGCCCATGATGGTGGTGGCCACCTATACTTGCGATCGCTGTGGCTCGGAAACCTATCAGCCGGTGAACTCGCTCTCCTTCACGCCCGTCCACGATTGTCCTTCGGATGACTGCCGAGTGAACAAGGCCGGAGGTCGTCTGTATCTGCAGACCCGAGGCTCCAAGTTCGTCAAGTTCCAGGAAGTCAAGATGCAGGAGCACAGCGACCAGGTGCCCGTGGGCCACATTCCCCGCAGCATGACCATCATGTGCCGCGGTGAGGTCACTCGATTGGCCCAGCCTGGCGACCACATCGTGGTCTCCGGTGTGTTCCTGCCGCTGATGCGCACTGGTTTCGCCCAGATGATCCAGGGTCTGCTCTCGGAGACCTTCCTTTCAGCTCACGTAAGTTGCTTTTAGAAAAACTTTAACATTCATCCAATAAATTCCTTATATTTCCCATAGCGCATCATTTGCATCAACAAAAACGATGAGATTTCGGACAAGGATGCCGAGCTGACTCCCGATGAGCTGGAGGAACTGGCCCAGGATGACTTCTACGAGCGTCTGGCCACCAGCTTGGCCCCCGAAATCTACGGCCATTTGGATGTGAAGAAGGCGCTACTTTTGCTCTTGGTTGGAGGAGTGGACAAACGCCCAGATGGAATGAAGATTCGTGGCAACATCAATATCTGTCTGATGGGAGATCCCGGTGTGGCCAAGTCGCAGCTGCTGGGCTACATCAGCCGATTGGCGGTGCGTTCGCAGTACACCACAGGTCGAGGATCCTCGGGAGTGGGTCTCACGGCTGCTGTGATGAAGGATCCACTGACTGGCGAGATGACACTGGAAGGAGGAGCTCTGGTGCTGGCCGATCAAGGAGTCTGCTGCATTGACGAGTTCGACAAGATGGCGGACCAGGATCGTACCGCCATTCACGAGGTGATGGAACAGCAGACCATCTCGATAGCCAAGGCTGGAATCATGACCACGCTGAATGCCCGCGTTTCCATTCTGGCCGCTGCCAATCCCGCGTTTGGAAGGTACAATCCCCGTCGCACCGTTGAGCAGAACATTCAGCTCCCTGCCGCTCTGCTCTCTCGTTTCGATCTGCTGTGGCTCATCCAGGACAAACCAGATCGCGACAATGACCTGCGTCTCGCCAAGCATATCACGTATGTGCACAGCCACAGCAAACAGCCACCGACTCGTGTCAAAGCCTTGGACATGAATCTCATGCGTCGCTATATTAACCTCTGCAAGCGCAAGAATCCCACCATTCCGGATGAGCTCACCGATTATATTGTGGGCGCCTATGTGGAGTTGCGACGCGAGGCTCGCAACCAGAAGGACATGACCTTCACCTCTGCTCGTAACCTGCTGGGCATCCTGCGTCTGTCCACCGCTTTGGCCAGGCTGCGTCTTTCGGACAGCGTGGAGAAGGATGATGTGGCTGAGGCCCTGCGTTTGCTGGAGATGTCAAAGGATTCGCTTAACCAAATCCATGAACACCAGAAGGGACAGTGAGTATTGCTCAAGATTTACAATGGCTACATATACTCACAAGTATTTATTTCTACTTTCAGTGTTCCCAACACTTCTGATCGCATTTTCGCCATCGTTCGCGAGCTCGCTGGCTCAGGAAAGGCAGTCAAGATCGCCGACATTATGGACCGCTGCACCACCAAGGGCTTCAAACCAGACCAAGTGGACAAATGCATTGACGATTACGAGGAACTCAATGTCTGGCAGGTCAACATGGGACGCACAAAGATCACATTCATGTAGATCGCCTCTTTCATTGTTCAACTTACAAATAGTAACTAAGTATTTGTCTCTTTATCGCCAATCGTTAATATTATTCCATACATTGTCACTTTACCATTTATCATTGTCATAAATAAATAAGAATTTTGTATTTGACTTGAGGACATTGTTTCCATTGTTTCAGTAATTAATCACTTTATAGTTCTGGGTAATATAATTTTATTTTATATACTTTTTAAAAGACATCCAAATAACAATGAATAACTTTTGCAAAGTGCATTTAAAACTACAATAGATCTTGTTGAAAGCCACAGCTTGTTCAAGTTACGAAAACAGCCCATGATCCTTGCCTATAAATTCGTTGTACAATTCCTTTAAGGACCTCACACGATACCATTTGCACATGCACACACACGATCCACGACGTCACTGTGGGACAACATTTGACACACACAAAAGGTGATATAAATAATATGGTGGCATAAGTAAGTTACATTTTTCTACTGAGGACAACACACAGATATAGTTATAGATGCGAGTCCCGCCAATCGGCAGGATCTACATGCTCTTGTTGAAGCTCAAGGCGGCTCGTAGTTTATTCCGGATTCTAGGGGAATTCCACCGATTTCCGCCCGCCGATCTTAGTCCCACCACGGATCGAAGTTCGTTGGGGGATATACCCTCATCCACGTCGTCTGCTTCGGTTTTTATCTCCATTTTCTGGACAATGAGCCGCACCAGCTGGTGTTGTTGCTCCAACATGCGGCTTATGTCGCGTAGTTTTCGTCTTTGTCGCTCCAATTCCGCATTGATATAGTCGTCATTGTTGTCGAAGGATATGGCGTCCATGGAGGCTTCATTATATAAGGGATTAAATCGGTTAAACCTATCCAAAATATGTCATCTATTACTTACAATCCTCAGTGAACGGATTGGAGAACCACTTGCGCAGGATGAAATCGCAGAAGCCAAGCTTGCACTTGGTCTCATTTGGGTACTCGATGAGCTCCATTTTGTCCACTCGCTGCAGCCAAACGTGCGGCAGCTTCCTCTCCAGCTCCGTGTGGAGCACCACCTGCATGGCCAACCTCTTCAGTTGGGCATTTCGACGCACTGACTCAATGTCGCCAACCGCCAAACCGATAAGCAGGTTCATCAGTAGAATGGGCATGAGGATCATGAAGACACCTAGGGTTATAAAATTCAATAAAGGGAAAATGCAAATGTGTATGTTGCATACTCAGAATCAAGAAGGAGGTCATGGGAACCTTCAACTGGTCGCGATAGTAGGTATTCACATAGGTGCCCACAAAGTCCAGCTCGCCCAGCATCATGGAGAAAGTTCTTAGCAAGGACATGGGTATATTGGAGAAGGACAAGTGGTTCGGTTGCGGGTCAATAATCTGTGGAAATAAATGCTTAAATTAATAGGAAACTCAATCTTTATTTGGTGCCCTTACCTTCGAAAGTAATATGTAGAAAGCCAATCCGAAAGCAATGATCAGTATGGAGAACACCATCAGCACCTTGATGAGCGTCTGCAAGATTTCGAGAAACATGACCACATAGATGCCCACCTGATCGAATCTCTGGAGGAACAATAGCAATCGGAACCAGGATAGAAACACGGCAATCGAGGCAGCCGAATAGTGAATTGTGGTGATACCACCATCCGGCTGAAAAGCCGGAGCCACCATCACCAAAGCCGAGATGTACAGAACCCAGGATATAAGGTTAACTGTCTCCAGGATATAGTGCACTTTCTGCTGGTAAATCTGTATGAGTTCCCGCAACGAATTGAGCAGTATGTAGACCACAATGACCACTGCACAGAAGAGTATCGCAGTGGTTCGATTTATGCGCTCCTGGCAGGAATCCAAGCGAATCTGGGATGCCACCGCAGGATTCTGCGAAAGATTCATTGTCAGCTGCTCCCAGCTGAAACAAAGGATTAGTTTTAATGCTTTCATTTACTAGTATGTTTTATAATTGAAAACTCACCCCATATTGCAGTACTGACTCATGGTTCTATTATCTCCAGCTTTTAATTCTATGTTGTTCATCATCAGCGAGGAATAGATGGTCACAAAGACCAGAAATATCGAGTAGATCAGCAGGTTGGCCAGGTGAAAGTACTTCCCATACGAGTTCCACTTCATCTGCAGATACTTCTGACTAAGCGGATGGGCCAGAAGTTCCACTCTGCCATGGGTGACCATTGTCTGTCCAAGGTTATATTGAAACATATCTCAGAAATGTGTTGAAGAACAAAAGATAAACATCCATACGACAACAAGATTCAAAAGCAAGACAAAGTGAGTTGGTTAGTGGGTTAGTTCTCGGGGACGATTCACAATTGCAGAGCTCTTTGATCAGTAAGAGAGTTCGAGGACACTCACGTTCACCACGGCCAAAGGCGAGGGTAGCCACTTGGGGTCATTGAACTCTTTGCGCTTGGCCTCAATCTGTTCGGGTGTCTTTTGATACGGCCAAAACGAATATTTTATCTAGATGGATTACCAATTAATGTTTAGAGATGATTGCTGCAAAGCTTTATGATGAACGATGGATCGTGAAGGCCCTTTTTCTGAACTCCATTCTAACTGATATTACTCCTCTCATTTATAGTCTAAATCCCTAAAGAAGGCATCCCCCATATTTAGATATGTGTCTTTTAAGGAAGGAAAAACAACACTGAAAACACACTCATGCAACAGATCTTTGAGGAATTCCAGTTTCCGCTTACATTTAAAGCTGGCAACGGAATCGGACTTGCTGTCGTAATTGACTCTCCGGTTTTCTCGTCAATCTTGGCAAACATAAATGGGCATTGCAAGAATGCGAAAGAGTACTTGATCTGGATACGATGATATCGATGGGAAATCAATTAGCTTCGATGGAATGATATGATGGAGAATAAAATAATTGCACCCTGGGAAACAACCCACTTACGTAGAAACTCTTCGAGTCCTTTTTGCAGTTGGCCTTGGTGATGCACTTATCCTGAACCGCCTCGAATACTTTGGGCATGGAGGCAATAAGAGCCAAAGTCACACAGGGATGCTTATCCGATCGCAGGGCCATGACCTCGTTGGCCCGCTCCTCGTGGGTCACCATGGCCAAGGCTGCCTCGGGATACTTGTAGTAGATGGCATAGTCGATGGCACTCATGTCCAGAACGTTGTAGAGCAGCTTGCAGCCCATGGACATCAAAACGGAGATTGCGTGAGGTTTGTTTTCCATTGTGGCTAGATGTAAGGCGGTGTTCTAAAAGGATAAGTATGAGCAAAGTAATAAAAATGATTTTTAAAATAAGTTTGGACTTTAATAACAAATAAGAGAGAGAGTTGGAAGACACTCGTATATACCTACACTACTCTTTAATTTAAAAACCTTTATAATATTTCATTTTGAAAATCTCAAATTCCTTGAAATTCCCAAATATTAATTATTTTATCCTTAATCTCTGCACTCACCCCATCCTTATCCACCTGATCAAGCAGATGTGAATGCACCGAGTGCAGCAATTCAATGGTTTCAGTGTATCCCGACATGGCCGCCAGCTGGAGGGGATTGCGTCCAGTGTGATCCCGATGGAGCAGGGCTCCTCGATTGAGCAGCAGTTGCACCACTCTGGTGTGTCCTTGCTGCGAGGATATGTGCAGCGGGGTCATGCCTGCACCATCGCTCTCGTTTATGATGAAGGACCCCTTCTCGGAATCCAGAAGTTGGCGAACCGTGTTGTATCTTCCGTAACGGGCGGCAAAGTGAAGCGGACTCTCGTTGTTGTTGTTCTTCAGATTGATGCAGGCTCCCAAGCGGATTAGGTTCTCCAGCGAGCGGATGTGGCCATCGCGACTGGCGTAGTGCAGTGGGGAGCAGCCCATGCTGTCCTTCTCGTTGAGCAGCAGCTTCAGCTGCGCATGCGTCTGGCAGTTGGCCACCTGCTCCGCAAAGTCCGTCAACCTTCCGCCGTTCATGATGACGAAGTGCAGCACGTTTCGAGCAGCGGCGTCCTTGACACTGATGCACGCCCCCAGGCGTATAAGGAGGTGCACTGGAAAAATTATATATTAGCATAAGTAATAAATATTTTTATTTTTATTTTAACAAATTAAATCTAGTATTTAATACTAAAGATAATGTACTGTAAGGCACTGGATACTAAGTCCTTCGGCCTGATATAAAGATATTTAATAATATTATATTATTTTACAGTCGAAGTGTAATAAATATATACCTAATATTCCCTAAAAATATTCAACAACATTTTTAGGTTGTTTTTGAGCAAAACGTGGCCAAATAAACTAATAGCAACTTAAAACCTAAACTAATTACCCACATCACTTCCCATCTGATTTTGAAAAGATTAATTTTTGTCCAATTTTCATTTTTTGTAAGAGGTAATATCGTAATTTGTTTATCAAAAATTGGTAAAAAAAATAAAATTGTCAAGGTTTGAATGCCAATTGATTTGAAATTAAATTACAAACTGCACAGTGTATTCAAAATTCTGACCATATTTACAATTTTTTCTTTCAAATTACTTAGTTTTTAGCGAGTTTTTATGGCTTCTGACAAAATTCAAACTTTTCTGGGCGTGTTCCTTTTATTGTGTTTATGATTTCGTTATAATTGGACAATTTAAAAGAGGCTATATAACATTTTTTAATGGCTTTGCAGCTCACCTGTTTTCCAACCGCTTCGAGATGCGGCCAACAGCAATGGAGAGCGGTGCTCCTTGTCCAGAGCATTTATATCCGCTCCTTCTGCCACCAAATAGGACACAATATCCGGGTGATCGAACATTGAGGCGCAATGTAGAGGTGTCATTTTCTGCACGTCCGTGCAACTGAGACACAGTCGCTTTTCCATCGGTTGCATTTCGAACATTAGCTTCACAATGTCAATGGCCCCCTAAAAAATAACAAATATAGGAAGAGAAGGGAAACCGTGTCGGATTCATTCATCCTTAGTGTGTATTTCAAAACATGGGAGTGCTTTGTTTTGTCAGCAACAAAGTCACGTTCGTCTTTGCGAATTTGCATAAGAATTTGTCAAATTAAAGTCAGCTCAGGACAGGAGGACACGAGCCGTGGCGAAACGAAGGGAAAGGAAACCACACAGCCACTTTTCATGGTCCCTGGGAGAAGCTTTAACGCTGTTTCCCTATCGCTTACTGACCAGGGAAACATGAGAGTTGCTGTTGGCTGCTTGGCGGCCTGTCAGTTAACCGCCGTTGAAGGATTTCCCGGGGAAACTCCACTCACCTGAGCACAGGCCAGGTGCACTGGCGTCGACAGATCGTGTTGCTGTGTGGATATCTTGGCCCCGGACTTGAGGCACAGCTCCACCGCCTTGATGTCGCCTCCGTGGACCGCCGAGTGGAGTGGCACGTTGCCCTCGGAGTCGTAGAAGGATATCATTTCCTCGCGGGTGCAGCCGCGCTGCTCGCCCCACTGTAAAATAAAATACGTGATTAGAACGGGGAAACTGATTCGTGTTTCCTCAGAAATAAACATAATTAATAAAATCGATTTGGTCAACGTTCAGGATGCTCTTCCCCAATTCCAAGAATAAAATATATTAGAGTATTATTATTTAATAATTCAAGTCCTTTAATCCCTTAAATACGACAGTTTGATTATATATTTTCGAACTTCATTTATCTTATCAATTTAATTATTTCCCTTGAAGAAATTTAAGTTTAAATTTAAAGAGCTAAAATATAAAAATGTATTTAATCTTATTTTGCCCCAGGAAATTTAATTGATATTTTGTAAAAAATGTTCACCCAAGTCAACGACCGACCCTTCCCGATTGTTCCAACATTTGATATTTTTTTCAGCTTAAACTTTGGGGAAAACATGTTTTCTTTCTGTCGTTCGTGAGAAAGATTGACCCCATGACAAACTTGATACTTTTTAAAGAGGACGCTGTCAACGCGGCGTATGCGCAACTTCAATCAGGGAGCAAGGGAAATAAAAATAAACGCAGCAGCAAGGAAAGTGCACAAAAGTTCAGAGGAGGGTTTAAATAAAAGGAATTAAGCAAATCGGTACGAATTCCAATCGGATACTTGCACAATAGAATAAAAGCGGGATGAGATGACATAGTTATTGGTTGGATGAACGATTCCATGCAACTAGTATATGCTAAAATCAGGGGAAACGGAAAACTTGCCTGGAAAAAGACCTCCATTGTCTTGGAGCTGGCATTCTTGGCCGCTTCATGTATGGGATAATAACCATTGTTACAGGGCTTACGGGGGCATGCATCGAACTCAGTTATCTGGAAGATACGATGAGTAATATAAAACGAATATATATATAGCTCTAATTTAATATGCTAACACTAGGGCACACACACACACACACAACCTTTAAGCAGGCAAACCCAAATTCTACGGAGGATACAAACCTTTTTTTCTGTTCTCTATGATAAATTAAACTTTTGTACGGTTGAGTGTGTTTCTCGATAGGGTGAAGGGTGAGCAAAGTTGATTAATGGTTCGATTTACATGGTTTAATGCAAATAAAATGCATGAATAAGTACTAAAGCGAAAATTAAAAGTCAAAATAATTACAAGGACTCACACCACTTACCAGGATGCGAGCGCACTCCTCGTGATCGTAAATGGCCGCCAAATGCAAGGCGGTCCTTCCGTGTTCGCCGCCCTGTTGGATGTCGATGACATTCCTGTACTGGCCCATCACTCTCAAGGACTTCACCTTGTTTAGCTCCGTGGCCAAGTGCACTGGAGCCTGTTTCTTTTCGTTGAGCACTCCCGTATCCACCGGACTGTGAGGAATTTGAGAAGAAATTTTAAGCTCTATCGCGCTAAATCAACCATCGCAAAGTCACTTACATGGACAACAAGTAGTCGAGCGCCTCGTACGAGTCGCTCTCGACGGCAATGTGAAGCGGGGTATTTCCCGCATTATCCTTGGCGTTAAAGTCTGTAAATCACAGTCGATAAGGACTTACTGCTTAAAGGCCAAAACCCCTCACTTACCGCCATTCTGGTCGCGGATGTACCGCAAAATGTTAACCCGATTGCGGGCAGCCGCCTGATGAGCAGCTGTTCGTCCTTTGGCATCCTTTAAGGCAATCCGAGAGTTGTCCGCCATGAAGAGACGCTTGAAGTCGTCAAGGTTCCCGGACTCAGCCGCCTGAAACGGAAGAGCAGGTGTCTCATAGTTTGTAGCAACTTCAATTAAAGCACTAAGCTCTGTTTACTATGCCAGCACTGAGAAAAAACTAGTGTTCTAATTCATTTTTAAAGATTATTTGTTTTAGGATGGTTGCTGAAATATTCTAGATTTTATTCCAAGTTTAGTTGAATTCCTTATATAAAAAGGACAACAAAATTATCAATTGTTTTTTTTACATTTTTTCTGTTCATTTTTTTTTTTAACTCTTTAATTTGTTTGTAATCTTTTGTTAAGCACTTATATTTTATAGAGTTCCAAGAATTCTGGCACTTTTTTTTATTTTATTCTCTTTAACGCGGCAAAGCGAAAGAAACCACTCTAAAAATTTAAGGTGAAGGTCCAGTTCTAATTATTTTCTAAAGAACTTTTTATTTGCCGTTTCAAGTGCAAGGCAAAGAGAGTACAAAACATCTTCCCACTGCAAAATGTCAATAAATCTTTAAACATTAACGCCACGAGGCAACTCAGTAATTCGATTGTCTTATTGCTTTTTCCGTTTTCCTCAATGAAAAAATACTATAAAGGGTGTTTTCTGGAAATATCCATCAGGAAAGTTTCGGTGAAAAGGGGGAAAAACTCTCCTTTAAACCTCTTAAGAGCTAATTTTCTAATTTGCTCGGGGTTAATTGAATGAATTCGAATTCGGCGTCCAGTAGTTTTACCTCGAGGTAGTCAACGATTTGTATCTTTGGCGACGAGGACATCCGCAGGATGCGTGCCCACTTTTTGGGCAGGTTAAGTGGGGCCATTGCAGTCATCTCCGCTCCGCGGGCACAGTTGCCCATCAGAAATCGCAGCGCACTCTTGGGGGTCTCCTTCTCGCCCGCTGTCATCGTCGACTTTAATTACATTTGCGTTTAGTTAGCAGATTAACTCTTATTGTCCCACGAGCTCAGTTCACATCGGGCGAGGATTCGAGAGCCTTGACTTAAGGATTTCTTCTGATATAATTTCCATAAGCGTTTGTTGGCCGAAGAACTCAGCTCAGATTTGCAGCTGTTACGTGTCGTTTGGCTTTTGTTTTAATTCCAACACTCAATTTGATTGCGTTTCGCAATCAGATAACTAGGTTTAGTTGCAACATGTAGTTTTTTGCTTAAAGAGTCCTGGCTTATGGGCTTTATTCTGATATAATTTCCATATGCCTTCGTTTTTTTGTATCAATTTAATTCTATTTTATGCATAGGTTGTTTGATTTTAATTCCGATCGATGCTCAATTACATTGCGGTAACCAGAAAAAAGGTATTTTAGATATGAGAACTTATAACTTTGATATGCATACGTTTCTCTAATTGCAAAAGTGTTTGTACTATAAATATAGTATATATTTATAAGTTAAAAGAATAAAAAGCTCGTAAATGCTTAAGGAAAAGCATCCAGTTAACAAATATTAAGTTTGAAATTTTATAATAAAACTTTAAACTAAACTTTGTTTGTGTAAATTGGTCCTAAAAAAAAATTTTCCTTTTCACTTTTTATTGCACGACAAAAGTCAAACAAGTATTATTATTAAAAGGGGTTTAAATATCCTTGTATATAATTAGGTATATTTTTAAATAGTTCCACTCGAATTTCGTAAATCTTTATTGAGTTAGGTAACCGCAATAAATGTCACAAATTGAATTTCTTTTGCAATGATTTTCTGGCAAAGTTAACTTGATTTTTGTAAGCGCGATGGAAATGAAATATCCGCAGGAAATAAAAGGTTAAGTTCACACAGGAAGAGCCGGGAATGACTGAAATCTCAGACCAAACACTCCTGCTTTTATAGCCAACTGGCAGCAGCTTCGGGTGCGTGTGCCAGAGGTCCTTTCAGAAGGATGTGCTTCGTGGATTTTCGTTCAATTCGCCAGTCAACGGCGGTTTCAATTTCAATCGCTGAATGTCAGAAGGACTTGTTGCGCCAAATCCATTTTTGTTAGTTTCTTTTTTAGAACGAATATATTTTATAATGCAATATTAAAAATTAAAAATCAAAATCAAATAAATCTTAAAACGAGTAAACTATTTCAGTTATTTCTTTTGGTAATCCTTTTGTATCTTAACATTTAAAACCCGAGTATGACATTCAATCGAGAAGCATTTATTATAGGTCTCGTTTGGGAAATGACCACGGTTCATCACTTTGGAGAATTGCAGCCCCCACCTGTATTTATCCTTTATTTTGTTTTTACCTCCCGATCGACTCACCCGCAATATCCTGAAGGGGCTGTCACGCAAGAGGCAGACCTCCGCCGGCGGTTCGGCTGGCAGGATGGCCTCCAGCGGGGTGTCCGCATCGTCGCCATCGATTTCTATGCGCTTGGGACCCGCGCTGCGCTCGATTATCATTGAGAATATCCAATACTGCAAAGGGATGTCAGTAATGTCAATAAATTTGAATAAAATATATGGCTAACCCTAATTGATAAAACCAATTCCGTGCAGAAAATTAAACAATAGTTTAACCATTATAATTAGGAGCAGAGATATGTTACTATAGTTATTTAATATTATGTTTGGTTGTGACTGCCATAATAAATGGTATCATAATTCATAATAATGAAGTGTTAATTAAATAACTTGTTTTCCTAGCTAAAAGAAATGTATAATGGACCTGAATAAAAATGTTTTTAATTCGCATAAAATGGCAATTTATTTTATAATAATGAATTCAAAGAACTGAAGTTTTGAACCATTTCAACTATAGTTTTAATTAAAGGGTATTCCAAATTAAATAATATTTGTTTTCCTACCCAAAGATAATGTTTAATGAATCTGAATGATGTACAGATTTTTTGGATTCGTTTACTGGACAACTACTTTTTTCCTTGGACATAAAAACTGTTGACTTTGGGCACTCACCTTGCTGTTCCGACCGGAGGTGGTGCCGCTGCCGCTGCTGTTGCTCCGCTGCTTGGGGAGGATCTTGGGCTGGGCCTCCATGAGGTCGGGGGGCGAGAGGGCGCCGCACTGGCCGCCGTAGACCCCGTTATAGAGCTTGGGCATCGTCGCACCGCTGGCTGCTGCAATCGTGAAGGGCCGCTGGTCGCGACTGTACATGGAGGTTAGTTTTTCGTTCGGATTTCGCCATTTATCACACATCATGGGGCGGCACAATCAGTGGGCTAATTAGATATTGATTGGGACTAAACGGTTTGCATACGCGTAAACCGACAGCAAAACCAATTTAGATAACCCGCCTGTCACATGATACAACCAGATATCTACTAGATAAACCCGAGGACGATAAAGACTCGGGAGAACCTTATCGGAGCAGGACCGAACAGCAACTGCAAATAGGGCTAACCGTGAAGTAACCCTTGGCCAATTTACACGCACTAAATGTCTGTATATATATATATATATATACTATATACGCGTTGGCCAGCAAGTCAATGGCCGTTTGTCATTTGCACAATTGTAGTCACTACCCCTGGGAATCGAAACGCCAACCCATTAACTGAAAGTGTCTAATTAATGGCTTGTTTATTTTCGCCAGAAGTTCAGCAGAAATTTGCATTATGCCAAGCCCCTGAAAATCCGGACTTACTCTATTTCCTCTAGGCTCATTTTGAACTGGTTTCGCCGAGCAAAGGATTCCAACTGCAAGCCCATTCGAATTGCGCAGAAAATTCCGGTCTTCCCAATTACATTACAATGATATCTATCGGACGATTTGGGCTGCGATTTCGCACTTCCTGCCCGCACTAATGAAATTGAAGTTGCAGCCCCAAAGGTAAGACAGAGCTCTGATTATTGAGCTACTGAGTTCCCAGGATGAGTTGACGAAACCCGAACCATTCGATTAGTGTAAGTGGTGATGGTCGGCAAATATCAGGGCAAACATCAGCCGACCGTCGGGTAAATAAATCCCTTAATTAAAAGGACACTTTATGGGCTTACTTTTTTGGTCAGGTTAAACGGTGTTCGGCAGCAAGCTTTTGATGTGTTGTAAAAATGTAGTAATTCCGGGCAAAGTAATTTCCATAATACATAAATATTATGTGCAACCAACTTTTATATGAACCATGAATTTTCAATATCCCTTAGCGGACTAAAAATAATACTATAGGATAGGAATTGAATATTGAAAACTATCAGAGGAAAGAAAAGTATTTATTATCTAGTATTATTCGTGAGTGGATTTTAATAATACATCTTAACACAATATTTTTTTAAAAATATATTCAAAAACCTATATTGTATTAACCAAAAATGTAGTTTTGCAAACCAAATAAAAAGGTTTCCAATAAAATTAAAAATGTGATAAATAAATAATAAATATTAACCAAAAATGTAGTTTTGCAAACCAAATAAAAAGGTTTCCAACAAAATTAAACATGTGATAAATAAATAATAAATATAATAATAAATAAATAATTTGTTACCTTATGTTTCTTGGAAATACTCGATTTTCAGCTCCTTTTTCACTCGATCAGCGTGTTTAGTATTTTCTCGGTGAGCAGCGAACGGGACGCACTTACATCTTCAGTCGACTTTGAACTTGAAAAACTTGAATTTGATTTTGATTTCCACCAAGACTAAAACAGAGCACACGGAGCAGGCACAACTGCGGCAGCAGCAGGAATTTTCCGAGCAGGAATATTCTGGCAGCGAGTTTAACCGCATTTAAGGCTGCTTGCCATATGTTGCACAGCCGATCCGTTCCTGCGACGTGGAGGAAGCACTACAAGGACTCGCGAGCAAGGACTCTGCAACGCCTGCAATGGCAACGGGTTGAGGCTGGGGCATGCAGCTAAATTAATTTGCAACTTTCACAATCGTGATGGACACCAGACACATTAATTATGGAACTTAATTAGCACCTTTGACGGGCAGAAAGGACTGCAAGGGGCTAGTTGTTTATGGGAACTTCCTGCTGAGTGATTTGCGAACCGACAGCTCCGATAGCTGGACACCAACTGAACGTGGCAGCCTTTTGGGCCCTCGAAGTTTCCCGGCCAGAACGGTTTCGACCAGTTCGGGGCGGTCCTGATAAGGTCCCTTAGCCTTTCGTCACTCTCGCCTCACTCGATTCGCGGAGAGTGTCGCCATTAACACATTAACACCACCACAAATCGAACCGATATAGATACCATATGTACTCATGAATGTTTACAAACCAGCGAATTGCCATTTTGTCACCCACATGGTGAAATAGTCTGGGATCCCTCAGATAGTTCTGGATGCTTTAAAGGGCTTCTCAAGGAAGTAAAAAACTGATACGCACTAGCATTTGGAAATAACAGATAAAATAATAAAGGAGAGCATGAGGTATGAATTGTTATAAAATAAATAATAAAGAAATAAATAATCAGAAATATAAAAGCAGGTGCTCTCCCTCATTTTTGAGTATTCTAATTTTGCTCTATTTCTAATTAACTTTAAGGCCTGTTTGTTCATATTAAAACCGCTTAAAATTCAAATTTTAACTATCATCATAAAAAGGTTAACCTATTTCAAGGGGCTAATTCCCAAGAGTTTTTATCGCATTCTCCCCGCAACTGCACTAAAGATGGCTATTACCCATTTCAATTAATTACTTTGCAAGTGACGTGGACGCAAAGCGAATAAACAACAAGTTAATTTATTGGAAAACTTTAAGAACGCAAAGTGGAACGCAATTTAACAAACAATAAAATAAAAACCAATAAACAAAACATGAACTAAACCTTCACTCCAGTGGAATGGTCATCAGTTTGTTGGGGAGATTAGAAAAGAAGAGCACCAGTCCCAGGATTACGCATAATATGAGTACAGTCCACAGGACATATTTCCGAATGACGGGCCAAAGGATGAGTCGCAAGGACTTGCAGGGATGCGTCAGTGGGTTAAAGGAGGTGTCCGGTCTGCTGTGGGTTTATACAATATAACAATTATGTACTTAAAATCTATATTTATACCATTCGACTTACTAAGGTGGATCCAAGGCCATTGGTGGGTCCTGTCCTCGTCCTGCTGGTCGACTGGCGGCCTCCACATCCGTGCAGATCTCGATACTCAGTTGCATTTTTCCCTGGATAGGGTTGAAAAGGTGAAAGGTCAAGAGTAAATTATGAAATCACCTTCACTCACATCGCTAACTTTGGCCTGGGAACGCTGCGAAGGATGCAAGTTGCTTTGCAGGGGAAACCAGCCGTTGATGACCTTGCGCTTGAAAAGGTTAATTCGCTTCCTCTTCTTGGGATAGGGCTTACAGATATGGGCGTTCGGATAGGGAGCGTACATATTGGAGAGGTTCAGCTCGAGGGCAGCCAGGTATTCATCCTTGGACAGCACATCCTTGTCCCAGACCTGGAAATAGATAATCGGGGGCTTCTTGAACTCAATCTCCTCCAGCAAACCAGCTTTGCGGCGTATAACCATCTGTGAATTATTAAATATAAAATATATAAAAAAACGGAAACGGGAGCCACTGAAATAATTAATGAGGGGAAGAAGCTCGGGTATTGTTTACTCAAACCAATTAGACAAGGTCGAGGCTCACCAGGTCCTCGTTGGGGGAATACTTCAGGCCGAAGACCATGCGCCAATTAAATGCCGCATCGCCGGCAAATGAGCGGTAATGGATATCGGTCGTTTGGCGCTTGTCCTCGTCCTCGCACCATCTGCGGAATATCACGAAAAACGTCGGTAATTGCATATCGTTTACTCGGTAATAAGCATCCCTACCAGTGGGGTAACCCCCATTCCCAATCCCCCCTCCCCTCTTTGAATTTGGGGTACCCTCTCACCCTATCACGTAGATGTCGCTCATTAGTTTGCCGAAAATGTTTTTGTCGCCCATCTGGATTCCACTCAGATTCTTGACCACAACACGCACCTCGAAATCCGCAGGCGGAACAGGCGTAATGTCAATGGGATTGGGCACATAAATGTTCGCCTCGAACAACTCGATCCACAGCTGGAGTTTACCCTGCAAGATATAGATATTAGTCGCCTCGTTAATTGATATTTTAGGATAACAAGAAAAAGCCTCCCACTCACTTATTTATTTCAGAACGTAATAAAAGATTGTCGTTGCTTCAAATAAACAGAATAACCTTTTAATGACATCAAATAATATCAAATAAAATTATCTAAAATAGATCAAACCAAAGTCATGCTTATTTATCATTTATCAACATTATAATGTTATTTATCATAGATTATTTTGTTTTGATAGAGGCTGTCTAGACCCTACTCCGAATAACTAATTATAGTTTTTTCATGGTAATGTTATTTATAGATAATGTTGACAATGAATCAGTTTTATTATTGGGTTAGGTTGAGCACTGATATTATTATGGAACTATCTAGCAGTAAATTTATTATTTTACCTGTTCGACGTTGGGAAAATCATCTCGGCACAGAGAGCGAGTTTCCACATGCTCGGGAACCAATTTGTAGCCAAACGAGGGAAGTTTTTCCAGATTTTTAAGAACAGCCAAACTGAGTCGCTCCTGCAGTTCCTCATCTGTAAAACAACTTTAGGTAGTTGGTTTAAAATACTTAATTTTTTTTAGCTAACCCTTCGATATAACCGTCTCATCACCAAACAGCATTCCATCCACCTCGATAACATTGCCATAATAATAAGGAGGCTGGATACCTCTCTTTTGGCAAAGATCTATAAGGATTTCCGAGGGCAACTTCAGGTCGTGCCAGTGGTTATAGCCACTTCGAGTGTATTCATTAGCCAAACCCACCGAAGCTCGATGTCTGGATCTCCACCGATCCTCCAGATCAATGTTCGTCTGCCCAATCACCTCATCCTTGATCTTATCGTGATCGTAAACCATTATCTGCAGCATGTGATCTCCTGGTAGCGTGGCTTCCAATTCAAACAAGCGACCGAAAACCGGATTGCTGTGATTGGGGGAAAAGTGGGCTCTGTCGGATACGGTTTTACCACCCAGAAATAGTTTCACATAGCAATCCGAGTCGCCTTTTACATCGCGGGGTCGCATCTGAACACCCTGCACTATATAGACACGAACTACTAGTTTTATGCTCTCGCTTAAAGCTTGAAGGGTGGATTGACTTCGGGGATGGATCGGATTTGTCCAAGGACGAACCATATCGCCACCTCCGCCAGGATCCTCGAGCTCCGAGCACTGGCAAGGCGTCAACTTGAGTTGCAACTTCAGAGTGGCATAGACATCCTCTTTTGGAGGAGCCTGCTTCCTGAACTTCACTCCATGAACCAATTGCACAGGCACTGCCCAATCCTGAAGGTAACCAAATTGAGCCTGCTTCTCCAATTCCTCATGATAGATCACCAATCGGTGTTTGTGTTCATGACTAATTTCCGCCGCAGTCCAAAACATTGAGTTGTAGAACTTTGTCCACCAGGTAAATTCCCTTTCCTCGATAAGTTCGCCATCATCCAGATCCCCATCAAATCTCAGAGCCTTACGATTTGCATAAGCAGCAGGTCGTAGGCCCAAAGCAAACATAAATCGCGTCCACCAGCTGTTGATCCTGGTGGGCTTGACCTCCTCCTCCTCCTCCCACTCCAGTTCGTCCTCCTCCTCACTATCCTCATCCACACTCACCGAGGTGGAAGCTTCTTGGGAAGCCTGCTCTTTTTGGGAACACACTTAATGGTTTTGTCACGCTGCAGGAAATTTGAGGAATTTGGAATGAGAGCAGCTCCCAAAGTGGATTCACTACTGAAACCGGAGAGCAGCACATCCGTGGCTATGATTGCTGGCCAATAATCCTGCTGGTCGGGCAGGCTCTGTTAGAAAAAATATATATTTATCAGATATTAGATATCAGATATATAGGAATATATATTAACTTACCACCACACCTGATGCATAGGCCACCAGAAAGTTAATGCTGTTTCTAATGCGAGCTGTTGAAGGACCACTGGTCAAAACCAAGTCACCCATCATCACCTTGATTTTTCGCTTGCCAGCGGAACTCATGCTGCTTTTGGAGTAATTCCGCAGACCCACAAAGAAAACTTCCAAGCTGAAAAAATATAATTAAATTAATAAAAAGTAAAAGGAAACACACTAGCAAACTCACATAAAATTCTGCATGTTTGGCCTTATTGCCACTGGAATTCCCGTGGCCAGAAGTGGCTCCTTGTTGACATCCTGGCTACTAAGACCCATTGAAAGTTCTATGAGCTCTGCGGACATTAGAACCTCAGCTTGAACGGATCCTTTTCTGGACACAGGCACCCATTTAAGAGGAGGCGGAGTGAGGTGCTTCAGCCTCTGCAACTTTTGGATGGGATTCTTGGACCAACCGCCAACATCCTCCCAACTGGAATCGGTGGCCCGATCTTCGCTAATAACACTCACTGCCAAGCTGCCCATTCCCACCAGATCGTTTGACAGACTCTTTTCCGTATTATAAAACTCCAAGGTAAGAATTGGGGGATTCTTCAGATACATATTAACACCTCCTGGGAGCGACAAGAAATTAAAGGTGATCACAGCATTCCAAATGGGAGAAAGTGTTCCAGGAGATGTATACGTTTCACAGGCTTGACCAGCAAATAAAATCCTCAGATGTGAATCAGAAATGCTCTTTTTTTCTCCTCCAGGACGAACTTTAGCCTGGTGAACATAAACGTGGCAGAGAAAATGTGTCTGCTTGGGACTTGGCTGCCAAACCATCGGTTCGATACAGTTCCAATTTTCACTAACAGTCGAATAAAACTCCTTTCGCTCCCGTTCCACCACAATGGCTAGACAACCGGAAATTATGGCTGTAGTGCAGCCGCAATTTGGACAGGTGTGAGTGCAACTTGAAGCCTTAAAGGAAAAGCTCCTCAATCTCCAGCAGAGAGTGTCCTGCTGCAAAGTCGCGTCCTGATTTTGCAAGTGCACAAAGAGCTTGGTATTCAGTCGGCAAACTCCCAAATCCTTTCCATTGGCGCTCAAGTAAAGGACCAACTCTGGCCACTCGTCCTGCGTGCGAGCCATACTAGAAAGTGCTCCAATTTCAGCTACCAAACGCTGCAGCTCATTAACCACATCGGCAACTGAGGCATCCAGGTGCTCCAGGAAACAGGTGCGCAGCCTTTGCTTTAGTTGATTGAGTTCTTGGGGCAACTTGGCGAAATAATCGAGGAGATACAGCTGCCTGCTTATATCCCAAGTGGTGAGTTGTGGTTGCACCTTGTGATCGAAACGGTGGGCTTCTAAACCCTCTTTTATCCTGCTCAACATGTTACCCACAATGGTTTTCAAGCACTTGGCCTGCTCATCGTCCTGAAAGGGATGTTTCAGCTGGAATATTTTGAAGATGTCGAGTTCGGAGCGCTGAAAACATATTTAAGAAATATTACAAAATATTTATTATAACAATTTTAGAGATATTAAAATTATATTACAATTTTATCTCACCATATAGTTGGCTATATCCATCATAAAGAAATCACTTTCGTACTTGGCACGATTATCGGGCAAACGAATTCTAAACATACAGGATCTATATGGTTCCTCCCGACGAAAACTCTTCGATTGAACTGCAGATCGAAACCGACCCGAAGGAGTCTTTAGCATTCCCTCCAAACTATTTGAACTGTGCTCAGCTAATCTCGCTGAGATCTTGTATGTGGTCGAGGTGGTCAGGATGTGGTGACCCATCAGTGGAAGAAACTCAACCAGGTAAACATCATCGTGCCAGAAACGAGACTCATCCAAACCAGGCACTGTCTTCGAGGACAATGTGTGGGTGGGCTGACCGTCATTTATGGTTTCCGAGCGAAGTTCCATCAGCAGTCGACCCACATAGGTCATTGGATTTACAGGATCGTACAGATGGATGTAGGTGGGACCAAGAGATGGAGTTCCTTAAGAAAAGATTTCTTTGTAATACCCTTGTACTAATTCTAATAATATAATTTAATAACTCACCTTTAAAAGCAATCTCCTCGAGGGACAACTCAAACTCAGCCACGCACTTCCACTGCAGATGTTCGTGGGCCAAAATGAGGATCAGGAATCGCTGCGCCACCGAGGGAAACATCCAGGCAAAGTTGATCTCGTGATTCCACACCGGCGTCGTAGTATTCTTGGCCACCGGCGTTTTGCCCTTGAAAGGATGGAATCTGTACTTTAAAAACGGAAACTTAAATCAATGCCAGGCGGCCAATACATTGAAGCCGGCGAACGATACTTGAATCATGTAATTGCCCTGCCTGATGAAGTATCCTCGATAGAAGGCGATGAAGTAGCGGATGTTGCTCTGGGTAAAAGTGTTTACGTTGGTAAGGAGATTTCTAGGGGATATAATAAACAATAAATATTAAGAAATACATTAAAACTATTTCCTTTTGGTAGCCCACCTCTCGATGTCATCGTAATCCTGATCCACCGACCACTTGTTCATATTTTGGGGATCCTGCTCTGATCTTAAACCTGTGGTCACCATACTATGCTGAGATACGATGGCCAAATCGAGTTGCAAGTAGCCATGAGATTCAGCGGAAGCCTCCAAGGGTTGGTTTTCCCCAATCGGTGCTTCCAGACGACCCCATTTCTTGAAGTAACCATGATTTGGCTGGTTCCACACACTGTGCAGATCCACTAGCAGTTCTCCCACAACCACATTTTTCTTATAAGTCATGTGCTTCTTCAGCTCAAAAAGGATTGTCAGACGCAGAAGTTCGGTCAGGGTGCAATGGAATTCGAAAACAAAGTACTGAAAAGGGGAATACATAGGTTTATATTGTTAAATAAATATCTATATATCTATCTATATATCTATCTATCCATATATATAATTCTATACACACCTCGTTAAAGAATGGATTCTCAGTATTAGGAAACGACTTCGTACTCTTGGTCATTTTATCCAGACTGATCCTCACATACAGCTCCCCGGAGGTCACGCCAACTTGAACCGCCTTGTGAACCGTGATGCAGATAAGAAACTCCTGCGGAGCACTCGGCGAAACAATCCTCCATATAGCTCATTATCTGTCCGACTCGGCTGGGAAACTGGGTTCGCAGATAGGCATTTTCGAACTGGGGTCGGAATTTAAGTGGAAAACAGGTGCAGCAGCTTTTCAGGACTTTGCATGAGCAAAGGCTCATGGCTTGGTTCGATCAACTCAACATTAACTTTGAGATTTCAAAAAACTGATTGAATTTTAGAAGATATTTTGACGGATTTATTTCTAATTATAATTGGATATTATTTTCTGCGCAATACCATACAAAAATATGTTTAAATATGATTAAACAGTAGTACAAACCAAATTAAGACGTAATTACCCATTTTTAATGTAACAAGCTTTTTTTAACAATTTTGTGGATAAACAATTTTATATGAGGTTATTGTAAAATATTTATTATTACATAAATTATACAAAAATAAACGACTTTTGGATGACAATGGGTTAAGAAAAGCCCCAAATAATTTGAACTGTCTGGCAACTCCGCAAAGCTCCCAAGTAGACTTTTGGTGCCGCTGTTTGCTGGCGGAGCCGAGCTTTCAGCCGGAGCAACCTGCTCCCCGCGCATGTATGCGTATGCGTGTGTATTGGTGGTGGCTCTGCTGAGGGGCAGTAACAACGAGCGGCAGCAGCAGCCAAAGCAGCAGCAGCTCAAAAGCAAAACGGCTTCAGTTGAAAGGCAAGCTTCCCAGCAGACGGTCGCAGTTACGCAGCAACGTGAGTCTTCGAGCGATTTAAGCCACGATTCGAGTCGAGAATCGAGAGTCGAGAGTTGAGTGCCGAGTGCAGTAGCTATCGTGGTCGGTGCCTGGTGCCTGGTGCCTGGAAGCATCCAAAACACACCCTACGCTCTCTTCGCGGTCCCAGTTTTTAAGCCATCGGTGCGTCTCTATCTGGATTTGGCTGTGTGCGTGATTTTGTGTATAATTTTTTGCGCGCGCTCAATCAAAACAGTGCTGCGTACTCCCCGTTTACTTTACTTTACTTGCCCAGCATCAACAATATTTACCAGCCACAAATAACTAGCTGCCCCAACCAGCCAACCCAGAAAAAAAGAAAAGAAATAAAAAAGTGTTGTGCTTTTTTCCACTCTGCCAAAGTTCTCAAATATTCAAATATTCTGGAATCATTGCAGTTTGATATATCCAGTGGGTCGTAAATCTTCGACGAACCGTAAATTATTAAACAGCTCGCTACGCAGCGTGCTCATATTTTACAGGTAAGTTTTTGCCTTAGTTTTTGGGAGTGCGCATATTTCTCAAAGCGGGGGGCAAAACAGAAAAATATACGAGCGAGTGCTACTGTTCCCAGTGAAAAGCAACCAACCCATCATCCACCACCCACCACCCACCACACAGAACCCACAACCCACGCCCTTGGGCATCCTCCCATCATCCGGGCACAGCCCTCGACCATCCGCTTTGTTGATACGCACACACACTTTTTGCGTCGCTCCCTTTGCCTTCGCCTTTCGCCTTTTGCCGCCCCCTTCCCTTTTGATTGCTGATGCTGCCCCCACTCCGCTCCTGGACTCCCTTTTGCGCTCCTGCTCTCCACGGGTACCGTTGTCTTTTGGGGCCGCTGCCCTGGCATCTGTGCCACTTTTCAATTGCGCGGCCTTTCTTTATGTTTATCACTAATTCTACCTTGCCTCTCCAATCGGGACAGAGAAAAAAAAATTCCAAATTTATCTGTTATTTTTCGATTTGAAAGGATCCTTGTTTTGAATATTCAATTTTAAAATAAATAAAAACAAAATGTTCGTGTCTTGTCTTTAGTACTATACAAGAAGTGTACAAGATTACTGCACACCAAAGCTTACGAAACATCAAAAACGTTTCAAATGCGATAGGTTTTTATTTTTTTTTTTTTGCTTTACATACATAGAAACTTTTTGTTGATTAGGCTTCATGATTTCTTAAAATATTTGTAAAAGGTTTGTATAGAGGAAGTAATACAAGGGTTTTTAAATGTAATTTATAAGAAATAAATAATATTGCTTTTTTTAACTGCAAACTTCGTAAACGTACATTTCAAATATCATTTGTAAGATAATAGTAATCGAATACATTTTGAACGATGGTCAGTATACATGACCTTTTCTAGGAACTCAAACATCTCTTTTATAGGTGTATTACTCAATAAAAGCTGGAAAACAAAAGTAATAAAATCAAAAGAGATATACTTACACTGTAAGCAAATATTTTTCAAAGTGTATCTGCAGTGAAAGGCTCCCTTTTGCAGTTTCCTCTCTATTTCCCTGCCCCTCTCCCGTTCCTTTTGTTGTGGAGTGTGTAAATTTTTGTGCAATTTCTTTTGCTCCACCGCCATTCGCTTTTTGATCTTGAAAACATGCTGGCTCAGAGTTCTCTCCCCTCTGAAAGCAACCTGTCCGCTCCACGAGAGTAGCGAACAAGTTTGTCAGGAAAACCAATAAAGCAAGTAGAATTGCTTATTGGAAATGAGCAAAGAACGAGACGGAGATAATGGGACAGAGAGAGAGGGAGAGCGAAAGAGCAAATCCCACAAAATCTTGTATTTTATATCGCACTAAATGGGGGAATGGGGCTACCAGGCTGATTATGATTACTTACAGAACTGCAGACTCACTTTTATTTCGTTAGTTTATTTTCTTGCCAAATTACCAATTAAATTATTCGAAAAAGTTTACCTCTGCACGGAAATGTGGAAAAAATTATATAAACGTTACGTGACTGTAAATTCATGTTTGATATTAATCTCTTAATCAGTCTGACAACAGTCTGCATATATAGTATTTAACGGGGTGAAAAGAGAACCAATTTATTCCGCTAATATATTAAATTAAATCAAAACCTGAAATTCAGTGTGCAAAATTAATTGCTGATATAAGTTATAAATTGGCAGCAAATAAATATTTGAGAAATTCATTTCAATCTGGCATTTTAACAAAAAATATTTCACAAATTCTGTGGTAATTTGGATGAAAGAGGCCGCAAGCATTGTTGACAGTTTCATAAATATTTAAGTTCTTTTACAATGCCAGATAATAAAATATTTAAAGCTTTTTGAGGTATAGAATGCCAGGGGCAAATGGACAAAAATGCATTTAAATTTGCAATGAGGTAACAATCAAATTAAATTATTTTATTTTGGTAGTTAAAGTTAAGTTTTAAGGAAGAATTCAAATTTAATAAATTTGTCTGTTTTAAATTGTTTAGATCCTGTGTTTAAGTATTTCAGATAAAATCGATGGCAATTTATTTTTAACTTCAAGATGATCGGAAACTGCAAACTCTAAGATATGTTAATCTTCTCTGGGAAGAATTAATGACCTAAGATTTACGATAACTTCTGAGTCTCTGTTTCCCGCAAAAACTTTGACTGCTTTTCCAGCAGTTTTTTTAAAGGACTTTTCTACCATTTTTCATCTTATCATCACACTAAAATCTCCATTGCTTGGGGGTTTGGCAAGGCACCTGCCAATTGGGACTGAGTAATTGGCTTAGATCTGGCTTCCCTAGCTTCCTCTATTTGGCTGGCAAATGGAAAACTAAAAGGGTAACAAATCACAGTAACTAGCTTAAAAATGTGATGAGCTAAAGAGTTGTGTACTTCACGAGGGAGATGCAGCTGCACCTGCAACCGGGTGCAAGAAACTTGGGCAAACATTTGAGAAGGGGATTCCATCTCGGCTCGAATTGAAGGCGTGACAAAACGATTCACAGCACTCCGAAAACCGTTAACCGTGTTTGCCAAGCCAACCCGTTTTGGCCGATGTGCTCGATGTGCGCAGAGAACTTGGTCTAAAGAGTTGGCCAAACTTTCCATTGGGAAATCGCAGGTAGGTGAGCGCACGCTAATGCACAGCCAAAAGGCAATAACTCAATTGGCAAATATCCGCAGCAGTCGCAGAACCATGAAGCTGACTTGCCGAAATGTGCAACATACATAACTCAATTAGTGGAATAAGAGCAGTGTACAAAACAGCAGGTTGTCGAAACGACGCCTCAGCGAGCATGAAATTGGCCAAAGGCCAACAGATTTATCATATACTACACGTAGTATTAAACCCCATTCATATGCTGGATGTGAATATAATATATAGACCATGGCTTTTAGCCCCCAAACTCGATGTTAAACGACTTTTTTACAAGCGCCGTTCCAAGGTGAACGAGCCACCCTGGACAGGCCCGAAACTGGACAGTATCTTTAGCTAAATATCTGTATCTGCATCTGTAAATGTATCTGTATCTGCGACTCCACTAAAATGTATATGCATCGGGTTACGTGTTGCGCATGCGTTGTCTCTGCATATTTTATGGTAATTCGAACTTGATCCACTCGCCGCCTTGGACTTTCACACATGTACAGATGGCTACCACATCCACCACCCTCGAGTGGTGTTCTTCGCCGGTCCGGTGGAATTTCCCATCGACCATCTTGTATTACACACGGACGCTTTCGGTTTGTGGCTCAAATTACTGCCGCAGTGGTGGCAAGTTCATTGCTTCTAGTGGCCAGTGGTAATTAAAATCAACCCAGCCATTCTTCACCCGGCAACACTCCATTCCAGCATTAGATCTCCGCCTCTTTGGCTTAAATTGCCTGCACTTTCAGCGGAAGCACAGGCACCGCAGTGCAAATACTTCAAATGGCTGTCCCACTGTGATTTGCGGCAATTGTCCAGCCATCTGGCCGACCATCCAACCATCCGACCATCCGCCTTGGGCCTGGGATACTTAATAGCCCGGCTGTATCTGCGGCTTTCCGTTCCGATCGATGTCAGTTAGTTTGTCATTGTCTCAATGCAACAATGGTCAATCCCAAACGAAGTCCCTTGCTGGCCATTTCGCAAACGTTTCTATCGGCAATGTAAACTGTCATTGATTTAAGTTAATTAAAAACTTTAAGCCAGCCATCTGGAACTGAACGAAAAGGGGAAACCTAATCGTGTTACACACTCAAAAATAAAGGTAGCTTTATAAGATTTTAAATACTATATACAAGGTTCATAGGTTTGGGTCGCACGGTAATTAGTTTTATTTTTAAAGCTGGCTGTTCGAAAATTTTAAAATTAGTTCATTCACTTGATAGGCCAATATCAGCTTTAAAGTCATGCAATAAATCATGCAACATAAAGTTTTATTTCTGTGTACTTTAAACTAATCCGGGACTTACGAGTTTTTACTCCCTTTACTCTCTCAAAAAAAAGGGAAAACAAAGATTTCTTTTTAAACTCTGACTAAATTAAATTTGCTTCCAACACTAAGATTATTATGTCATGAAAAGCTGTCCATCAAGAGTAAACTTTCTTATGAAAACTTAAAATAAACCACAAGAGAAAATCTCCTTATGTCATTATAAGTTTGCCCTTTAATCATATGGTTAATTCATAATCACCTTTCGAGGCCCTTGGCAATTTTCCCACTGCTATCTCTTTGTACCATTTTCTCATTTTTTATGCCCAGCAGGTGCACATAAGCATTTCCCCGACACATGATTAATGAACCGAAACTAGTAATAACTGCACGCATTGTTCGGGAAGCCAAAAATGAAAAATAAAGCGGATTGTAAAAATGTTTACTTTCGCAAGCCATGAAAATCTCCAGACAGCAAAACTGAATAAAAAAACAGATTGTGACGATTGCGCAATTGGAAATGCGTAACTTTGATTTCTGGGACTTAATTGAGGGAGCAGGGAAAGTAATAAGTAAAGGGGTAATAGCAATTAACGCACTTACCCACTTTAATCGCTGCCCGCCCACCGAACTCGGAAGCCCCCAATCAAGAGACCCATGATGTTTTTATTTGTGTTAACCATTTGTAATTGATTGAAATGTCGACGTGGATCGAGTGTGCGTCTTAAGTTCATTTTGAAATCTTGTTAACTGTTGACTGTTTCGTTTGACTCTTTTCCCAAAAAGAAAACAAAAGTGAAAGTCCAAATATGCAAGGCAACGTGCTGCTGCAACAATGCATATTAATTTTTTTTTTTTTTTTTTTTTTTTTGGCTTTTATTTTTGTGATGGCACGCCTCTGGTCATTTTTTGGAATTTTCTTTGGTTCGCATATGCAAAGAGATTAACGCCGAATAGCGAGTTGGCGATTGTTTAACCATTACTTGGCCCACCCCTTGGCCAAATGCTCATGTTTGGCTACAAAGAAGTACGCAAAGGTTTACCTATGTTTTAGCCTTTAGTTTTGTGTTTTTTTTTAAGCTGATGCAATTGGTCTATT